AGGGCTGCTTGGCTGCGTGCTGCCTCGCCTAGCCTCGGCCCAGGGCCCAGCCCCACCCCGTCGACAGGGACCCCGACGGCCGACGGCTCGACGCACAACTTGACGACGGCTGCGCTGCCAATCGAGTTTTAATTGGCATGGGGTGGCGGGGCGGGGCGGGGCGGGGCGCCTCGTCGGGGGCGCCTGCCCGGCCGGAGGCACGCCGGAGGTGCGTTCGTTGACTAATCGACCTTTAGTCGTGTTGAAAGGCTTGGCGGTGGTGCCGAGGCCTCAGCGCGCAGCCATCACCGTGAGCCGCCGGGGATGGCCCTGCAGGCCCTGCAGGCCGAGGCCGCGCCCAACGAGCTGGAGGGCCGCAGGTACGTCGCGGCCTTGCCGGCCTTGCCGGCCTTGCCGGCCTTGCCGGCCGTGTGGCTCGGGCCGAGGATGGACTTCCCCTTGGACTCCGTGACGACAGCGCCCCTGTCAGGGCACAGTGGGCCAGAAGACCGGTGGAGGCTGCCATACTTCTAGACGCATTTTGAGCTCCCAGAGTCGCTAATAGGTACTACACACGAACCTGTAACGTGTGACCCGGCCCACCGATGGATTCCTCGTCCGGAGAGCAGTCCAACGTTGGGTTCACACGCTCGGTTTGAGTTCCTTAGAGCGAATTCTGGAGCTTCAAATGCGTTCAGAGTTTTGGCTGCCTCCACCGGTCCTCTGGCCCACTGACGTCCAGCGAGCTCTTTCCGGACAGTGCTTTTCGCCGCACGGCAGTGCTGTCTGTCTCTGCCGCACTCAGTCTCGGCGACAAGGCTGTGCGCTTTGCGGCGCTTTGCTCGGAACCCCGTCCGTGTCACCGCGACGTGGCCGGGGTAATATTGTGGGTCGCGGCGGCACGGCCGGGAAACTTGGCCCAGTGGGCGTGCTCGCGGGGCGTGGCGGGGCGTGGCGGGGCGGGGCGTGGCGTGGTGTTCCTGGAGGCGGGGGCGGAGAACTCGTGCTAGCGCCGCCAAAGCGAATTGTGAGATTGTGAGGCAAAGTGATCACTGGAGACACGGCATAACTGTCAGCAAACCCCCTGCGGCCTCACGGCCTCGCGACCGGGCTGGGCTGGCGGCCTGGCCCTGGCGGCCTGGCCCTGGCGGCCTGGCCTGCGTCCCGCAGCGCAGCGCGGCGGCACGGCGCGAAAGGGGAAGGGGGCTGCACGATGCAAGCTGCACGTTGGCCGCGGTAGCTGTGGTGCCGCGTACTCTGGCATATTGCTCCGCGCAGGTCGCCGACGGGCATCGGCTGCATTGGCCTTAACGGCTTGCCGCACAGTGGGCCAGAAGACCGGTGGAGGCGACCAAAGTTCTATACTTAGACGCGTTTTGAGCTCCAGAGTCGCTAAATGGGCCTCGAACCGAACGTGTGACCACAGCTATGGATTCCTCGTTCGGAGAGCAATTCATTGGTGGGGTCACACGTTCGGTTCGAGTCCCATTTAGCGACTCTTGAGCTCAACGCGTCTAGAGTTTTGGACGCCTCCACCCCGGTCTTCCGGCCCACTGTCTCCAGATGTCGGTTTTCGACGTCTGTCTGTCTGTTTCGCACGCGCACCCAAACCCACACGGAGTGCAGCCCTTTGCTCCTTGACCTATCCGACGGCTGCGTGGTCCTGCCCGGCGGGCTGCCCGGCGGGCTGCCCCACCCTTGGCCCTTGGCCCCGCCACAGGTACTATCGGTACGCTGGTGGTCGCCGTGCTCGCTCTGTTGCACTAAACCTCCGTTATCTGTTTGCACAGTGCACACACAGGCCGCGGAGATAACCCTCGGCCTCCAGGGCAAAAGAAGGGAAAGACTGTGCGAGGGGAGGCTCGGGGGAGCCACCCCGGCCAGCCTAGAGCCCGCCCTGCCCCGGCCGAGCCTGGCACGGTGCGTAACCCCGGCGCGGCGGGGCGGGGCGCGGCGGGGCAGTGCAGTGCGTGCTTGTCATTCATTTGCTTTCCATTTATTCGCCCTGCGCTTCTCGCTCGTCGCTTGGCTCTCCTTATTTATCGGCCCTTTTCCCTTTTCCATCGACCGCCGTGCCGCGGGGCCGCCGGGCCGCCGAGACGGAATGCCAGCGCGGTGCGGTGCGGTGCGGCCGCGTCGGCGGTCTAGTCCTCAACGAGGTCACGACGCCCAGTCAATCCGCCACCGCGGCCTCCATCAATTACGTCACGTTTCCATGTCGAGCGAAGAACGTGTGTCTGTGTGTCTGGTGCGCATCTGGCGGCCCCGGTACAGGGAAGACCGGTGGAGGCGGCCAAAATCTCTAAACGCGTTTTGAGCTCCAGAGTCGCTAAATGAGACTCGAACCGAACGTGTGACCCCACCAATGGATTGCTCTCCGAATGAGGAATCCATTGGTAGGGTCACACGCTCGGTTCGAGAGCCCTTTAGCGACTCTGGAGACCCAAATGCGTTCAGAGTTTTGTCGGCCTCCACCGGTCTTCTGGCCTACTGTGCGGTCGTTCAGGTCACGCGGCGCCGCGTGCGACAGCGGTGTACTGTAACGGCATGCAGGGCTGAGGGTGGCGATGGTGCAGCAGGCCACTTCTCTGCCGCACTGCCTCTCTCGCACTCACGGAGCGTAGGGGTGGAAGAGAGAGAGAGAGAGGAGAGAGGGAGAGAGAGAGAGAGAGAGAGAGAGAGAGAGAGAGAGGAGAGAGAGAGAGAGAGAGAGAGAGAGAGAGAGAGAGAGAGAGACGGGGCACTGCTCGAAGTCGGAGTCAGCCATCGGCCTTCCGGGAGGCCGAGGCCTACGTAACTACGTAACACAGCGAAGCGTAAACGCGCCTCGATTCGACGGCAGTCCCCCTCAGGCCCCGCCTTCTCCGTCAACGAGGGCCCCGATGGCACCCCCGGCAGACTGGTGCCGAGCAGCGCTTTCGTCGCTCTGTCTCTCTCGCACTCATGGGGCGTTGCGCACGAGTGCGAGAGAGACAGAGCGACGAAGCAGTGTCCGGATTCAGTCTGCTGCGTTACGAGGGGGCGGCGGGGGCGGCCCCAGCCTGTCCCAGGCTGTCCCAGCGCGGTGGGTCCGGGGCGGGGCCCCTCCGGGGTCCCTCCAGCGCCGCGGCCGGGAAGGGGCGGGGACTGCGGGGACTGCGGGGACTCGGCGGAACAAGGCGATTCCTTCGATCGTCAGGACTCTGATTTTATTATTTGTGTCTGAGGCTGGCGGGCTGGCGCTGGCGGGCTGGCATCGTTGGGTGACATGTGACTCGGGGTGACTGCCGCGGCCCTCCCCGCGCTCCCCCCGCAGCGCTGTGGCCGGGGCTCAGGGCCGCCGGGTCGCAGGGCTCGCCGCCGAGGACCGCTGCAGTGGCACGGGGATCTCGACGGTCCTCGCGTCGCGTGGTCGCGTCGCGGTCTGCGCCTGTGCGACGTCGCGCCGCCAGATGGCGCCGCTGGGGCTGCGGCGAGTGCGACGAGTGCGGCGAGTCCGACGCGCGGACGGCCCATGGCTCGCGGTCCTCGCGGTGGCCGCGCTCACGAGGACGAGTCGCGCCCCCGTTCGACTTTAACGCGCCGCTTCGTTCGCTTTTGGTCGCGCGTCGACGCCGCCCTCCGCCGCCGCTCCAAGGAGTCCCAGGCGGTGTTGAGCTTCTTGCTGTCGCCGCTGTGGCCGCTGTCGCCGGTCGGCGCGCGTGGCCGACCCGAGTGCTTCGCCCTCTCCACGGTGCGGACGCGGAGTGCGGCCGGACTTGGGCCGTGTCTCGTTTCTCGACTTTGTCGTCTTTCTCGCTTCGCCTTGGAGGGCATCGGCTCTGCATTCTTCACGCCGCCCCCAATCTGTTTGCCCGCGCGGCTTGGACTCGCCCTGCATACTGATTCCGAGAGTCGTTTTCGTCGCTCTGTCTCTCTCTCCCTCATGGGGCGTCCCGTATAGGTGTGAGAGAGACAGAGCGAAGAAAAACGACTCTCGGAATCAGTCTTTTCTGTTCGGTGCTTCCTATCAGACCCAAGTGCCGACGTGTCAAAATGTTAATGTGGCCACATGCCTGCTCGCATGCCGGTCGCGCCGTCCTGCTGGTCTTGTTTCTAACGAAATAAAAGAACCTCCGATAGTGGATGCCGGTGCTGTACAGTCTAACCGCGACAGGCGGTGTTATGTGATACTTGGGTCATGGCACGGATAGACAGACGCATCGAGACAAAAGCGACATGGTAGCCCACTGACCTCCACACTCTAAATGCCTTAGGGAAGAGTCTCCCATTTTACGAAGAACGTGGCGCGGCGCTAGCATGAAACGGACGCAGTTTTTCTTCGTATTGCCAAGTTTTTTTTGTCAGTCAGCTAGCTCAAATGCAAATCTTTAAATATCCGTATGACGCTGGCGCCGCCGAAAGTCACAGTAACGAAAGCTCAAATTTGCTTGTGAGGCTCATGGAGTGCACCGTGAACATAGACAGCCTTCGCGATCTGGACGCCTGGATAGACTATTTCGCTGGATCCACTTCGATCCCTCGAGAAAACAAATGCACCGGAAGTCGGGTAGCGTCGGCCAATCAGAAGCCTCCTTTCATCAAGGCTAGGCGCTACCACTGATAAAAGGAGGCTCCTGATTGGCCGACGCTACCCGACTTCCGGTGCATTTGTTTTTTCGAGGGATCGAAGTGGATCCAGCGAAATGGTCTATTGGCAGAGGATCATTTCTGGTCCAGCCTATGGTGTTGATGTTTGTTTCCACGTTCTCCATGTCGTGTTGCAGGTGACGGGCGGGTCCCTGGACCGGCGCCGGCCGCCCTTCGCGCGCGGCGCCTCCAAGCGCGGGGAGGTAGGCTGTCCGCCCCTTTCACTCGCTTTTCCCACTGAGAACGAGATTGAGAACGAGACTCGCTGTGCTGTTCAGGCGAGTGCTGCGGACCGCGGCGCCACCAGGATGGACTCCAGGGAGCGGAGCCGCGAGCGCAGTCCGGCGCGCAGCCCCACCCGCGGCCTGGGCATGGCGGCGTCCTTGACGGCGTCCTCGAGTGACCCGGAGGCCATGCTGCGCCAGAACCGGGAGCTGCGGCGGCGCATGGAGGAGGAGCAGGCGTCGTACCGCCGCCGCCTCGACACCTACCGCCAGGTAAAGCCCGCGAGACTCGTTCCGCGAGTCGTTTTCGTCGCTCTGTCTCTCTCGCACTCATGGGGCGTCCCCTACAGGTGCGAGAGAGACGGAGCGCCGCGCACGAAACTTTTACAAACCAACTGTCTTGTTGTGCAGGCGCAGCAGCACCAGGCCGCGCTGGTGAGCCGCCTGCAGGCCAAGGTGCTGCAGTACAAGCAGCGCTGCTCCGAGCTGGAGGGCCACATGGAGGACACGCTGGCGCCGCCGCGGCCGCCCTCGGCACTGGAGGAGCGCGAGCGCGAGCGCGTGCTGGACCTGGACACGGCCCTGCTCCGGCTGGAGGACGAGCGCCGCAAGTGCGTCACTGTGAACTGACTGATTCCGAGAGGCGTTTTCGTCGCTCCGTCTCTCTCGCACCTGAACGGGACGACCCCGGGTGCGAGAGAGACGGAGCGACTCTGGTTGGCGTGCTCGGAGCTAGTTGGCACGGTGCGTTGCAGGTGCGACAAGTCGATGCAGCTCAACCTGGCGCTGCGGGACCAGCTGGAGGAGGCGCACCAGACCAACGAGGCGCTCACCTCGGACCTGCAGAAGCTGTCCAACGACTGGGAGGCGCTGCGCGAGGAGATGCTGGTCAAGGAGGAGGAGTGGAAGGAGGAGGAGCAGGCCTTCAACGACTACTACACGACGGAGCACGCGCGGCTGCTGACGCTGTGGCGCGACGTGGTGGCCGTCAAGCGCCTGTTCGTGGACATGCAGGCCAGCACGCAGCGCGACCTGCAGGGCCTGCGCGCCGACATGACGCTCTCCACCAGGGAGATGACGAGCGCCTGCTCCGCGCTGGCGGGCGGCGCGCGCCGGGAGGCTAGCGAGGACCGGCAGCAGAGCGAGCGCGAGATCGCCGAGCTGCGCGCGCAGATCCAGGCCCTGCGCGCCTCGCACGACGCCGCCCTCACCGAGGTCAAGCACAAGGACGAGCGCGTGCAGGCCCTGGTGCGCGAGGTGCAGGCCCTGGAGGAGCGCTGCGGCGAGGCGGAGGCCGGCCTCGGCCAGGTGAGCACGCCGCGGGCCGCGGCACGCCACCGCCAAATCAAGTGTGGAGAACTCCTCGCTTCGTGGTGTCAAGTTTGCGGTCTCCTCACTTCAAGCGTGAAGTAGCTCACGGAGCCCACAGTGGCCCAGAAGACCGGCGGAGGCGGTAAAAATTCCGGACTGGTTTTTGAGTGTTGCTAAATGGGATTCGAACCCAACGTGTGACCCCACCGAACGAGGAACCCATTGGTCGGGTCACACGTTCGGTTCGAGTCCTGTTTAGCGACTCTGGAGCTCAAAGCGCGTTTAGAATTTTGGCCGGCGGTGCCGGTCTTCTGGCCCAACTGTGGAGCCCCATCTCTTGGCATGGTACCAACGTGGAGAACTCCCACCCTTGAGTTGTGGAGACTGCAAACTCTGCACTTCCCAGTGCGGAGACTCGCTTCGCTTCGCAAGGAATGCACTAACCGCGCGTCCGCGCCCCTCCCGCCCCACAGGTGACCCGCATGCAGGAGGAGGTGGAGCTGCTGCAGGGTGCGCTGCGCGACATTGCGCACGCCGTGATCCAGGACGCGGACGGGCGCGACGTGGACGCCGTGATGCTGTCGCCGTCGCAGCACGTGCACCTGACGCCGCCCGGCCCCGTGCCGCCGCGCTCCCCCAAGCGCGGCCAGCAGCGCGCGCACACCTCGCCCGCCTTCGCCGAGGGCACCATCTCGGCCGTGCAGGCCGCGCTGCACAAGTACCAGCTGCACATCCACGAGCTGCAGGTACAGTGCGCGCGCATGCGCCGCGCAGTGGCAGAGGGGAAGGAGGCGGAAAGTGGCACTTTTAGTCTTCTGAAAAGGGCAAAGTGTTGCTGTTCGCCTACCTTTCAGTCGACTGTCCAGGGGTCGGGGGAGGGGCAGTGGCCTTTTTGTTTGTCCCTCCTCTGGGCCTTGAGGCGGCCCTGGTGGCCCTGGGCCTGACCGTGTCGCTGTTGCAGGTGAAACTGGAGGCCAGCAAGGAGCAGCTGCAGATGGTGCGCAAGCAGACGGAGGCGTCCGAGTGCTCGCAGCAGTCGCTGGAGGCGCGCGTGGCCGAGCTCACCGTGCAGCTGGACGCGTCCAAGGCGCGCTGCACGCAGCTGCTGCAGGAGAAGGACCTGCTCATCAAGTCGCTGGACTCGGTGCGCGCCGAGAAGTGCGCGCTGGACAAGAACCGCCTGGAGATCAACGCCATGGTGAGTTGGAGGCTGGAGCCGCGCGGGAGCCTCTCGCCGAGTCTCTCTCGCACCCATTCGCAACGCCACTCGAGTGCGAGAGAGACAGAGCGACGGAAACGACTCTCGGAATCAGTCCGCAGGCCCTGGCCGCCCTGGCCGGGCCGGGGACACGCGGGGTAGGGCCGAGACAGCGGGGGTCGCCCTGCCAGCCCCGCCGCAACGGGCACCGCAAGACGCTCCACCCCCACCCTCTTTGCCCCGGTACCTTCCTCCGCTCGATGCCGGAAGTAGGCCAGTGGCCCCACGGCAGGCGCGGCACGGCTGTCATTACCCTACCGTGCCGTGCCGTGGCCACCGTGGCGTGCCGTGCCGTGCCGCGCGCCGTGCCGCGACACGTGATCGGGGCGTTAACTCGCGACACGACACGCGCGTGCAGCGCCACGTTCCTTCGCGGCGCCGGGCCCCATTAAGGGTGATATGACAATCTGGAATGTCGCGCCCCGCCGCGCCCCGCCGCGCCCCGCCGCGCCCCGCCGCGCCCCGCCGCGCCCCGCCGCGCCCCGCCGCGCCCCGCCCCGGAAGTGCAAAGATTTATGATTGGTCGTCGTGGTCCTTTCGCAGATCGACACGCTCAACGCGGACTATGAGAAGATGCAGAAGAACAACAACCGCCTGCAGAAGCTTCTGGACAACATGGAGGACGAGAAGATCTTCCTGCAGAGCGAGCTGGACCGCCTCAACAAGGACGCGGAGATGCGGTGAGTCTGGGGCCAGGACCGAGTCCAGGACGGCCTCAACAGCCTCGACAGCGTTCGTCACGAGAACGGCGCAGGCGGCCAAAACTCTAGACGCGTTTTGAACACCAGAGTCGCTAAACAGGACTAGAACCAAATGCGTGACCCCGCCCACCAATGGACTCTCCGTTTGGAGAGCAATCCATTGGTGGGGTCACATGTTCGGCTTGAGTCCCATTTAGCGACTCTGGGGCTCAAGACCCGTCCGGTCTGCCGGCCCATGGGCAGTGCACTGCGCGGGTGGCTGATGCGGCTCGCCGTTGCAGGGAGATGAGTCTGCGGACCGAGGAGGGCCGCGGCAGCCGCCTCCGCGAGGAGCTGCTGACGATCCGGGAGGAGCTGAGCAAGGCCCACCTGGCGCGCGAGGTCCTCGAGCAGCACAAGGACGACTCGGAGAGCGTCATCGCGCAGATGGAGAAGTCCAAGGGCGACCTGGAGCTGGAGCTGGAGCGCGTCCTCATGGAGCGAGCGGACCTGCAGGTAAGGCCTCGCGGGACGGCACTGTCAAACCAAGTGCGGAGGTGTGGAGTTTGCAGTCCCCGCACTTGGAAGTGCAGAGTTTGCAGTCTCCATTCTTCGTGTCGAGTTCTCCACGTTTGCATCATGCCAAGAGAGAGGGGCTTAGTGAGCTACTCCACATTTGAAGTGTGGAGACTGCCAACTCAAAACGTCCGTCCAAGTGTGGAGAATCACTCCGCAGCAGGGAGTGAGGAGGAGTTCTCTCCACATTTGAGGACCGCCGGAATAAAGTGCCACCTTAGTAAGGACGGCCATATCTCGTTTTGCAGTGCAGGCGAGCATGTGTCGGGCCCGAAATGGCATACGATCATGTGTGGGCTAGCCCTTGATGGTAATGGTAATGAAGCGGGCCGGCCCGTTGCGCTGGCGTGCGCGACGGCGGCCTACCTCGCAGGCGGTTGCTGTTCCTGTTCACGCTAGACGCGTTCTGAGCTCCAGAGTCGCTAAACGGAACTCGAACCGAGCGTGTGACCCCACCAATGGATTCCTCGTTCGGAGAGCAATCCATTGGTGGGGTCACATGTTCGGCTTGAGTCCCATTTAGCGACTCTGGGTCCTCTCGCCCGCTGTGCGCTGGCACTCACCCTGTCTCTGTCGCAGGAGAGCCTGCTCAAGACGGAGAGCCTGGCCATGGGCATCGAGGCGGACAAGAAGCGCCTGCAGGACGACCTGCGCACGCTGGAGGAGGAGCGCGCCGCGCTGCAGGGCCAGGTGGCGGACCAGAACAGCGACCTGGGCTCGCTGCGCAAGGAGCTGCTCCAGGCCGAGCAGACGCGCCTCGACCTGGAGGCGGACAAGGCGGCCCTGCAGGAGAAGTGCAAGTTCCTGGACATCGAGAAGGAGAAGGTGAGCGCGATGGTTGTCACCAGATGACAATGTCAAGGCTCATTTTCCTCACACGAATTTGCCACCAAGCTTGTTGGGGGTCAGTTGGGGAAGAAACACACAGGGTAAGAAAAGTGCACCCTCATGGAGCTAACGTCCTTCGTTGAGCCATCCCTCAACCAGTCATCTTACCTTAAAAATTTCTGTGTGAAATTTCTGCCAAATCGATGTTGAGCTGCCTGCTGCAGGCCTCAGGTGGAGATGGCCGTACTTTTCTTACCCTTTAATTTTCTTCCCCATTTTACCGCTAATGACTTTGTTATCACGCCTATGTATTAAGTACTGGAGACTGGATGAGAATTTCGTTACTCTGTGATCACTTGACTTTTCCAAGCGGATTCGTGGACCCACCCGTTGCGGGGCTCCATCAAAAACTTGAAGGAAGCGTTGTGTTCGCGGTGCACGTAGCGATAACCTACACCGTGGGTACGTTTTGCCAATGCCTCTCTCCTTCTGGCGCAGACCGAGATCGAGCTGGGACAGGTGTCCCGCGAGCGCAGCGACCTGAGCCACCAGCTGGGCGCGGTGGCCCGCCAGAAGGAGGCCCTGTCCGAGGAGCTGGGCCGCGTGCGGCAGCGCCTGGAGCAGGCCAGCGAGACCAACGCCCGCCTCAACCACAGCCTGGAGGACCTGGTCAAGGACTGCGAGGAGAAGCAGGTGGTGCTGGAGGCCAACGACAAGGACATCCAGCGCCTGCAGGAGCAGCTGGCGTCGCTGCGCAGCGAGAAGGAGGCGCTGGAGGCCGTGCTCTTCGACGCGCAGACGGGGCTGGAGGCCACGGACAACAAGCGCGCCAAGCTGGAGAAGGAGAACCAGGAGCTGCTCGTCAAGCAGGAGGGCCTCAAGGGCCAGATCGCGCGCCTCACCAAGGACCTGGAGAACTCGGAGAAGCGCGCCAGGGAGATGCGGGCGTCGCTGCTGCAGGCCGCCAACAACGCGGAGGCCGAGTTCCAGGCGCAGCTGGCCAGCCTCAAGAAGGGCGGCGAGGAGGCCGTGCGGAAGCTCACCGACGAGAGGGTAAGGTTCACAGCCCCACCCCCATTGGGCGCGTTGTAGGGCAGCCCCCCTGACCCCGCCCCGCACCACCCTGCCGCTGAACCAACTGCCCACCCCCACCAGTTCCGTACGCACCACAATTTAGTCATCCCTGGAAACCTATTTAGATTGGGAACATTCCTCCTATGACTCGGGACATTGACCCTGCAGGAGCAAGTGCGGGCGGCGCTGGAGAAGCGGCTGCAGTCCACGGTCGCGCAGCTGACGGCCGAGAAGGAGGCCGAGGTGGCAGCGCTGCAGGAGAGGATCGAGACGGTGCAGCAGCACCTGGAGAACCTGACGCAGCAGCACGAGGAGGCCCTGCTGCGCGCCGAGAACGACAAGCAGCAGGCCCTGCTTCTGGGTGAGTCTGTCGACGAGTGTTGTGTCATCGACGCGTCCTTGTCGCGGCCCTCTCGCGGCCTTGACGCGGCCTTGACGCGGCCTTGACGCGGCCTTGACGCGGCCTTGACGCGGCCTTGACGCGGCCTTGACGCGGCCTTGACGCGGCCTTGACGCGGCCTTGACGCGGCCTTGACGCGGCCTTGACGCGGCCTTGTCGCGGCCTTGACGCGGCCTTGTCGCGGCCTTGTCGCGGCCTTGTCGCGGCCTTGTCGCGGCCTTGTCGCGGCCTTGTCGCGGCCTTGACGCGGCCTTGACGCGGCCTTGTCGCGGCCTTGTCGCGGCCTTGTCGCACTTCATGTCGCTTCATGTTGCAGCCCAGCACGACCACCAGGCGCTGCAGGAGAAGCTGGAGTGCGTGCGCCGCGAGCTGGAGGAGGAGCGCGGCGTGCTGGACCGCGTGCGCAGGGAGGCGGCGGCGCGCGCCGAGCAGGACCGCGCCACGCTCAACCAGCTGCGCGACGAGCTGGCGCGCGTGCACACGCGCCTCGAGGACTTCAAGTGCAAGGCCGAGGAGGACCGCGCACGCTTCGACGGCCGCGCCGACGAGCTGCTGCGCGAGCGTGACGTGTCGCAGCAGGAGAGCGAGGAGCTCAAGGTGCAGCTCAGCCTGAGCGAGGACCGCGTGGACCAGGTGCAGGCGCAGCTGCAGGAGACGCTGCGCAAGCTCAAGGAGGCGGAGAACGTGAGCGAGAGCCTGCGCAAGGACCTGACGGACGTGCGGCGCCAGCTCGGCGACTGCAGCTTCGAGAAGGACAAGTACTGCAGCACCAACAGGGAGCTGCGCGAGATCGTGAAGCGCCTGGAGGGCGACAAGCGCGAGGCGGCGCGCGGCCTGGACGAGGCCGTGCAGAAGATCGCCATGCTGGAGGACGCCAGGGCCGCCCTCGACGTGGAGCGGTCGCGGCTGCAGGCGCAGGTGCGCGACCTGGAGCACGCCACCCTCACCACGCAGCACAACCTGCAGACCGTGCAGGACGAGCTGGCGCGCACCCAGGCCGCCAACAAGCAGGCCGCCGGCGAGGAGAAGGAGCTGCAGGCGCGCCTTGCCGTCGAGACGGAGGAGCGCGAGCGCGCCACGCAGGAGCTGCACCAGTTGCGGAAGCAGGTGAGGGGCATTCAGAGGCTGCACACTGGTCTCCGGACGAGGGGAGGGAGGGGAGGGGCATTCAGAGGCTGCACACTGGTCTCCGGACGAGGGGAGGGAGGGGAGGGGCATTCAGAGGCTGCACACTGGTCTCCGGACGAGGGGAGGGAGGGGAGGGGCATTCAGAGGCTGCACACTGGTCTCCGGACGAGGGGAGGGAGGGGAGGGGCATTACAGAGGCTCGCACACTGGTCTCCAGACGGGGATTGGGGGGGGGGGGGGGGGTGCCTTGAGCCGCACACTGGTCTGACGATGAGAACCGAGCAGCGGCCCTGTGCTCTGTCTTAACTAACGGCGGCGTGTCCTTGGTGTCCTTGCCTTGATCCCCAGGCCGTGGAGCTGGACGGCGCCCTGGAGCTGACCCGCCAGGAGCTGGGCCGGGTGCGCGGGCGCGCCGAGGAGGAGGGCGAGCGGTGGCGCGCGCGCGAGCAGGAGCTGGTGATGCGCCTGGAGGACAGCCGCAACCGCGAGCGCAAGCTGGAGGACCAGAAGCACAACCTGGAGGTGTGCCTCGCGGACGCCACCCAGCAGATCCAGGAGCTCAAGGTGGGTGTCATCGTCGTGGTGCCTTCCTGTACCCTGCGGCGAGGTGCGACTGGACACTGTGTCGTGCTGCAGGCTCGCCTGGGCGGCGCCGAGGGCCGCGTGCGCGCGCTGGACCAGCAGCTGCTGCAGCTGGAGGCCGCCAAGAAGGACGTGGAGCAGAAGCTGAGCAGCGTGGGGTCGACGCTGCGCCGCATCGCCGGCATCCAGCTGGACGGCAGCGTCAGCCTGCCCTTCCGCCTGCTCAGCCCGTCACGCCGCTGGAGCCCCGCCAGAGGTGAGTCCACCGCCGTGGCGGCCATGGCCCACAGTGGGCCAGAAGACTGGTGGAGGCGGCCAAAACTCTGGACGCGTTTTGGGCTCCAGAGTCGCTAAATGGAACTCGAACCGAGCGTGTGACCCCACTAATGGATTGCTCTCCAAACGAGGAATCCATTAGTGGGATCACACGCTCGGTTCGAGTCCTATTTAGCGACTCTGGAGCTCAGAGTTTCTGTAGGCCGCCTCCATCGGTCTTCTGGCCCACTGTGCCCCGCTGGAGGTGCGCCTCGCCCTTGAACGTGTCCGCGGCTCCGCGGTGTTGCAGCAGTGCAGGAGCACCACGACGGCCGCGGCGACAGCGTGGTTGACGTGGACCCTGAGGTGATCCGCAAGGGCGTGCGGTCGCTCATGCAGCAGGTGGCGCAGATCGAGCGAGAGCGGGTGAGTCCTCGAGTTTTCAACAGTGTACAAAGGTAGAAAACACTCTGGAAGTGTCTGACGCCGTCCCATCCTTCCCCGCAGGACGACCTGAAGGCGCAGGTGACGGCCGCCAAGAAGCAGCTGGCCGAGTCGGCCGAGCACCAGACCAAGGGCGACACGAAGCTGACGACGACGCTGCAGAGCCTGTCGCGGCTGCAGGAGGAGAAGGGCAGCCTGGAGAACCGGCTGGGCCAGAAGCAGGCGGCGCTGCAGGCGCAGGGCGAGGCGCTGCAGCAGCGCTCCGAGGAGGCGGCCGCGCTGCGCGAGCGGCTCACGGCGCTGGAGCTGGCGCTGCACTCGGGGGCCGAGGAGCGCGCCGCGTGCGAGGACAAGCTGGACAAGGTGCGCGCCGCCTGCGGCCGCCTGGAGGCCGAGAAGCGCAGCCTGCAGGAGGAGCTGGGCCGCACCGAGTCGCGCGCCACCAAGCTGGAGCTGCAGCGCATGGGGCTGGAGGGCGACCTGCAGCGGCTGCAGATGGTGCTGCAGGAGAAGGACTCCCACCTCGCGGTCAGTGTAGTGGCAGAGGACAGCGCGCCCACGCGCCATTGCACAGTGCGCCGGAAGACCGGAGGCGCTCAAAGTCCCGGACGTGTTTTGAGCTCCAGAGTCGCTAAACAGGACTCGTATCGAACGTGTGACCCCATCAATGGATTGCTCTCCGAACGAGGAATCCATTGGTGGTCCATTGGTGGGGTCACACGTTCGGTTCAAGTCCTGTTTAGCGACTCTGGAGCTCAAAACGCGTCTAGAATATTTGCCACCTCCGCTGGTCTTCTGGCCCACTGAGCATTGGGTCGCACAACTTCCGAATTGAGTGTCTCGGATTTCAACGCTCACACTTTTCGAAAACATTTCAAACTGGTCAAAAATGATTCAACAAGGCGCAAATGGTCCGAAAGTGATCTCGGTGGAGCTCAAGTAGTTTGCTTAACGCCTTTCTATTGCATTGAAGACAAAGTTCAAGAAATGTTGCTTGCATTTTCCACAAATATGTGACTTCTGGAACGTGTTAAGGACACTCATAGAGCACATTTTGTGGGAATCCGAGACGTGAAATCCGGGGGTCGTGCTACTTGGGAAACATCTACCCCGGCGCTGTGTCGTTGGTGTCGTTCGGGACAGCCTCCTGACGTGTCTGTCTCTGTCCCCGCAGAAGCTGCAGGAGCGCTGCGAGCAGCAGGGCCGGCTGGTGGCGAGCCTGGAGGAGCGCTGCGCCTCCATGAAGAACACCATCGACCAGCTGAACCTGTCCCTGGAGCGCGCCGCGGCCGGCGAGTCGGAGCTGCGCGCCGAGATCCAGAGCCTGCAGCGCACGCTCATCGACACGAGCTCCACGTCGCAGGCCAGCTGCGAGAAGCTGAAGCAGCTGCAGAAGTCGCTGGCCAACAGCGACAACGAGCGGCGCGTGGTGGCCGAGCGCCTCGAGGTGACGCAGCAGCAGCTGGCCGAGCTGCGGCGCGCCAACCAGCAGCTGTCCGACCAGGCCGGCCGCCTGCAGCACGAGCTGGCCAACAACGAGGTGCAGCGCGCCGCGCTCGAGTCGCAGCTGCGCCTCGCCAGCGCCACCACCACCATGGCGGCCTGGCCCGCCGACCAGCCGCACGCCCCCGACAACATGCGCGAGGACGAGCTCAACCGGCAGCTCACCACCGCGCACCGCGAGCGCTCCGAGCTGCGCTCCAAGGTGGACTCCCTCGTGGAGAAGGTGCGCTGTCTGGAGACGGAGAAGCGCACCCTGGAGCGGACCCTCACCAAGGGCCACCGCAGCCGCAGCTACGACCGCAACCGCGACGTCAGCGAGAAGGAGCTGGACGCCGCGGACGCCGGCAGCGGCCTGCACCAGGCGAGTCGCCAACTACCCTCTGTTTGATCGGCCTTTAGTCTCGAGTGAACGTCTCTCAGTAGTATGGTACCACGAGTTCAAGACCGCACAAGAAAGTTTACAGGTCTCGTCAGCCTGTAGCGCCAGTCAGTCCGACAACGCACCGGTGTAAAGAGGGTGGCCCAACGGGCCCCTGCAGCCTGCATGTAGAACCCAGCCCTGTTGCGTGTCTGGGACGCGCGGGGCTCGAGCAAGCAGCGAGTGGCTGGCCTCCAGCCGACGTAACGCCCGCACAGTGCCACACAGTGCTGCGGAGGCAGGAAGACCCTCCGAACGCAGGGCTCCTGCAGGCAGGCCGGCAGGCCACCACCCTCTCACCGGAGCGTTGCGGGTCTGGCGCTTGACGCAGACGGCCCGGCCAGAAAGAGTCGGTGTTTTGAGGAGCGCGTGAGTTTAAGTGGGAGGTCGCAGCCGCGCTTTTGTCTGTCCTTTGAGACCACTGTGCGGTGCCGTCGAACACGACGGGAGACGCGCTTCTGTTCTTTCTAGGCAGTGTTCGGCCGAGCTGACGCCGAGCTGACGTGTTTGTATGGCCGCAGCACTTGGTGGCCACAAATAGGGAAGTCCCCAGTACGAAGCACGAAGCGCGTTTTGTGCCGGTTTGAGTGTCACGTTGTGTCGCCGACGGCCTACAGACTGATTCCGAGAGTCGCTTTCGTCGCTCTGTCTCCCTCGCACCTACACCTTACAAGCCTACACGACGGGTCGCCCCACGAGTGCGAGAGAGACAGCGACGAAGAAGCGGCTCTCCCCATGAGTCGGCTGACAGCCTGCGCGCTTGGTTTTGCCATTGCCATTGCCCTTTCTCATGGTTTTGCGTTGCGTTGCGTTGCAGGTGGTGGAGCAGGAGAACCGCGAGCTGCGCATGCGGCTGCGCCGCCTGGAGGCCCAGCTGGCCGAGAAGGAGACGGAGCTGCTGCGCGCGCGGCAGGCGCTGCAGTCGGCGCAGGCCCAGCTGCAGGTGCAGGCGCACCACGGTCACGGCCGGTCGCACAGCCCCGAGCGCGCCGAGCGCGCCGAGCGCGCCGCCGAGCTGGAGCGCGTGCGGGCCGCGCAGCTGCAGGCCGAGCGGCTGCTGGAGGCCCGCGAGCAGTCGCACCGCCAGCAGGTGCTGCGCCTCGAGAACCAGGTGAGTGGCTTGCGGAGCTTGCGCAGCTCAGTCTCTGTCTCTGTCGCACTCACGTAGTCCCTTAGGGTACTGCAGTGGTGCGAGAGAGATGGAGCGCTCGGAGGAACCTCACGGAACGCAGCACGTGCCTCGGTTGGATCCGGAAGTGCTGGAAGCTAGAGGGGCACCCGGGCACCGTCAAGCCAAGTATGGAGAACTCCATACTTCAAGTTCCCCCCCCCCTCCCCTTTCCCCCCAATGGCACCTAGATACCGCCTGAAATGTGAAAGGCAAAACGTCATACTTTGCCCCTGTAAGTTTGAGAAAAAGGCCCCTCCCCAAATGTCGCCTCCGGATCCGCCACTGAGAATTCTGAAAACTCTGCACTTCCAAGTACAAGCCTCTCTTTCACAGTGGAGGGCGTGGAACACACGGTGACCCTTTGCCCTTGGCGCTTTGCAGATCCAACTGCTGCGGGAGCAGCTGGCGCAGGAGGTGAAGCGGCGCCAGCTGTACGTGCTGCGCAGCTCGCGGGCCGGCAGGGAGATGCAGCACCTGCGGCAGGCGCTGGGCGACTCGCTGCGCACCGTGTCGCAGGACCCGGCGCTGGACGCGCTGCTGCTGGAGCACGAGGCCCGCAAGCTGGACAACTCCCTGGCCACCGCCACCTCACCCGCGCCGCCCAAGTGAAGCGACTGGAACCGCATCACGCTACCATCCCCGTTCTAGGGGAGGGCGTGGGAACGTTTTCTTTCTTTATACGTACCTTGTACTTGGTTTCCAATTCACATATTTTCAAAAAAAAAAAAAAAATTGTGTGTGGAATACTGCCCCCGGAAGCTTTCAGGTCGAGCGGAGTTGAGGGGTGCAGTACTTTTATTTGGTTGAAATGGCTGTCAGTGCCATTCTAATTTTGAAGAGTGATGTCCGCTCGGAAGGGAGGCACCCGCTCGACGCTGTCACCCGATCTGAGGCAGTGCTTGTCTCGTGGGCACCGAGTTTCAGTTCCAACGCTCGTGATCGTTGTTTATGATCTCAAGAAAATAGGCGATCAACAAAAAGTACCTCTATTGATCTCTGCAGCCTGGCTGCAGTGGGCATGGGCATGGGAGTCCTATCTCAGAAATCGCACAAACCCTCCACACCAGAAATTTAGCAGTTTAAAAACAATCTTTTATTATTATTGTTGATTTTGTTTTGTTTTGTTATCAAGTTTATGATGTTTTGTTTACAATTATGGTATTTTCTACAAAGTTTCTAGTCATATGTTTTAAGATTTGAACTAAATGGTATCTTGAACTTTGTATCAAGTTGGATTTAAAATCTACCTAAGCTGTGTTGAATGAAACAGCTTCTTTCATATCATGTCATTTTGAGTTTTTGATATAAAAAATATTGCCTTATGCTACCCTGTTACCACATTTAAGTATTTAGCTGTCACTTTGCAGAAGAACTTTTCATTTAGGAATATACTGTAATGCCTGCCAGTTTTTAGAAACTCCTTCAATATTTATTTTGTAATTTATATTTTTGAACAAACACAAAGCACACCTATCATTTGTAGTGAATTTTATTTTTATTGCAAAAGAAAAAAAAAGAATACCTTTAATCAATGTACCTTGAATGTGCAAGTGTGCATGTGTGATAAAGCTCATCTGAGCATTTTGGATGCTCAGTGCAACTTTGTTCCTGGGCTCGTGCCATTTTATTGTCATTACGGATGTGCCTTAAGTCAAATTTCATTCTCATTTGTACATATGATTGTATGATGAAATTGTATATTCCTCCACCCCTCTATTCTTTTATGTGAATCTCTTTTGAAGAGGAAATTGGTATCCATATGTTTTGGGAACCTTTCTTGAAAGCGGTCTAAAGACTTAAACCACGAACAAGACTTTTTATTTCATTTTCTGTGTTTATTTAATAGTTTGAATAGGACTTTTTCAATATGCCTTTCTTTAAAAGTTTTGACCAATTATCTGGGGATGCACAAGGTGTAAGAAATATGTTGTGTGACTTGCTGCAGGTGAGGCACGAACTCATACTGCATCACAAGTCTAGAAAGATTAGGTTGGAGCTTGTGTCGTGTTCTCTAGCCTGTCACTAGCTGAGGGGCCATGTGGTAGAACCACGGTTACGTTGAACAGTGCATCATTAATTTATGAAAATACTCCAAGAAAAGGCCTTTAACTTAAATGAGATATGTAAGCAATATCATTTTCTTTTAAGGATAACAAAACACTGCCGCCTCCAAATTCCCTGTCTTTGGTGTTCTCAAACATGGAACTAACTTAGCAGCTTAAGATATTTGGAAGTATTCAAGCATAGATCTTCAATACACTTTGGTCAACAAAGTGAATTGAAATGAATGTCAATTTAGCTGTAAATCTTGGCTGCAACCTGGAAACTTAACTGTTACAAAGTATCGATCCATATATGGCTTTTTGTAGAAAAGTCTGTTACTGCCAATTGATATGATTGAGAGCCAGAAATGCAAGCATAGATGGTGTTATTAGCTTCCAACATACATAGTTATACAGTATCTTCTTTTCTTTTCTTGGCAGTGCATCACAGCCTGTAGAAATTGTCACAATTAGCTCCTCATACTTTTTTGGGATTTGATTGTTGTAGAGTGTATTTTATACCATTCCTTCCTAGATCACAGTAATATCAAATAGAAATAATGTAAGAAACAGTAACAGCAAATCTGTAGCCTCTCTATGAGGGACTACTAGGTGTGTTTGTATTGATTATTTGGCTATACTTAGGTAGTTTTGACTAGACTCCTGTACGGAATAAATTTATATATTGAAAAAACATTATTAAAAATTAATTTTTTCTCACAGTAGCAGATGGAATTATTTTCTGAGGTGCTCATGCAATACAAATGTTGATAAATATTCGTTTCCCTGGGGCCCTCATAGCTAACTGTGTTACTGTCCAAACATTACAAAAAAGATGGGAGGCACTTCTTTTACATAGTCTGATCATAGAATCGTCCACCGAGACACCTGAGTGTAATAAGTTGCCCAAACTTAGACTGACGGTAGTAGCGGTTTGGGTGAGGCAAAGGCGAGACATTTGTTTTGGTGTCACAGACAGCGAAAGGGGCATCGGCCACTCAGAGAGGAGCGCGGTATCCGAGAGCTCGGTAGCAGCCTAGCCGACCCGATGCAAGACTCGGGTTCGCGACCGCGTTCACCGCACTCCAACTTATCTTGTGACGTGTCAAAGCGGTGTTTTCCTTCCAGGCGCTGTGCCACTGGAGGGAAAAAGAAATGAGGACAACAATCACGAGCGTGCTCCGTGCACGAAGAGACATTTCAGGTCGCCCGATAAATCTACCCTGTTTACTGCCATCCACGGGATGTGCTGTGAGTTGCAGAGGATATGGAGACAGTTTAGTAAGTCAATCAGAAAAAATTATAATTCCTGAAATTTTACATAGAATTTGAGATTACATTACAATACTAGAAGAGTTGAAACACACAGACTCCTTTTAAACGAGAGTATAAAAAAAGGACTGTACATATATTAAAGTATCACATAATAGTACAAATATACTTACTGTATCTATTTATACATATACATTTATTATATTTATATGCACGTGTATTTACCAGAACATAGTCCTGGTAGATACGAATGAGACTAGCAACTAATTGATATTGATATATAGGATTACATCAGAAACCAGAGAAATGAAGAATGTGTTCCAATGTATGAAGAGGTAAAGACTTAAAAAACCCACAGAAAGACCAAAATTCATTTTAGAAAAACAACAAGAAGAAACAACAAGGTAGGATGGGTAGATTTTTCCAGAGGAAGGCGGGAAAGTTGCCTCCAAAAATCTACCAGCATTTATGCACCTCTTACTTTAAGCTTCTTAGCCTGAAATTTTCCAGTACTCTAAGGTTTTAACTTTAACCAAAAGGAGACTATTACGAATGTAGCACCAGCATAAATATGGTTAATGAGCACAACAGAGAAAATTCCCAACAATAATGCAAGACAATCTTCTGCCTTTTTTCTGAGAGCGCATGTTAGTTCAATTCATGTGTAAATGGTAAATCAGTACTGCAGAATGACATGTAAATTAAAAAAGGATAACAAAGCAAACTCAGCAGTCCAAAATCACGCCAGAGCTGAAAAAATCTAATGAGTTAGTTTCTATTAGTAAAATTAAGAGTAAACTAAAACATGTTTGACTTTTTAACTTAACATTCCTCTTTCATAAATAAAAATAATATTAATAACAAGAGAAGAGTGAGCCATAAAGAATCATTCAGTCACAAAATATGCTTAGTACAGTAGCATTGTTAAGAATTCATAGCTACATGGGCATCTACAGATCACAACAAAAAAGTTAATAAAAACTGCATAGAAGAATGGGTAACTCCACTAAACATAACTTTAAAAAGTTAATTTAAGTGATGTTTGTAAAAGTAAAAATAACTTTGGTGTATCATGCTATGTAGTGAGCAAAGCATCTTTAGACAACCTTGTTTTAAAACACAATTTCAATGAAATTCTAGGACTACATGCTATAAAAAATCACATAAAAGTCTCACAAAACCTTGTGCGCAATAGCTTTAGATAACTATAAACTACCGTCAAACAGAATTCAGGTAATGAGGTTCTTTTTTAAAAACGACTTCTCATTTTTTTCCCCTCTACAACACTACTGTAGAGTGGGATTGAATGTCATTAAACACAAGGAAGATAAAGAACAAATAGGAAAAAATCTGTTGGTTCCTAAAAAGAACAGCTTCACAAAAACGAAATTTCATTCTTCCATCTAATTCTTTAAAATTTTCAAGAGCAGTTCCTGTCAATGGTAAGATTTCACATTATTATAAGTAGATAATTTAAAACCAAAAGTGAATGCACAGATATTGAAATAATTTGATCAGTCAGGTTTCTAAATACAAAAAGGCAAGAACAGTAAGAATGATAATGAACCCCTAAAAAGTAATTAGTCTACTCAGCATCACAAAAAAATTAATGTCAGTCTTAACAGGCTCATCATTTGGTTGGGGCATGAGGCCTCTAGCTTTCTAAGAAGATAATCTGTTACAGAAACACACTTTCATAAAACAAAAAACAAAATAAAAAAAAACAAAAGAAAAAAATTTTGAGAGCCCAAAACAAGATTATCTTTACAGTATCAACAGGGGAAAATATCAAAAAGGTCTTCACCTTATTAAATTACTAAAGAAATTATCATGAGGGTCTAGGTCGATGTTTCCATTCAACAGAATCACTCCGGATTGAGGGAGAAGGGGTAACCTCCACACCACCAGATTCCTCACTGATGGTGGACAAGCCAAATGCAGGAACAGCAGTCGATGGCGTACTAAAAGCTGGAAGCTTATGCTGGGCAGGTGAACTGGTGCCGCACAGCTTAAGTTGAGCTGGGGAGTTAGTTGGGGAGGAGTTGACAGAAGAATCAGTGTCCGGAAATGCCATATCTATGAAGCCCACCTAAGAGACAAATAAAAACAGAATTTGGTACAAAACTGTGTGACAGCCTTCATATAAAATTGAATGCAATGTGAACTTGCTACCTGTTGAGAATGAAGATGAGGAAGTCCTAGAGGGTTGGGCAGCCTCATCTGTTCATACTGATGAAAACTTGCCATCCCTGGATACACTGGAGGTGATGTACCATCCTGCAAGTACATGAGAGAAACAGTGCACCGGTAAAAGGACAACACTTAAAGTGGAAATAACTCCTCAGATGATGTAACTCTACAGAAGACTCACCATATTGTAACTTGTTGCAAGTGCTACTTCTGAAGCCCTTGAACGATCCTCATAGGGTTGAAGGACACACAAAAGAGTCCACAGGGGCACAAGAAATTTGGCCAGTCCAAATATAGAAATAATAATAGAATAGAATAGTTGAGTATGGCCGAAGACGCCACTGCAGCCAGTATCAGTTGAACCAACTGAAAATAGACGGTTTCACATAAATTTTTTAATTTAAAGAACATTTTGGCTCTTATAAAAGGTTAAAACTTTTAAGTTACCTAATTTCATGACAATATCAAAAGTAAGAGATAGAACAGCTGAGACTTCATACACAAGAATAACACTCCACAGGTCTCTGTACTCAGATCTTTGGACTCCACCTGATCTATGTAGAATATACAAAGCTGCAGTTGAAAAGAGCTGTACAGAAATGAAGTCTGCGACTGATAACATCAACCAATATGGTCCTAAAACAACAAATCATTATTACTGGGTCATAATAAAAGAATAAAAGTCTACCAGGACAGACAAAACTTACGTTGACATTCAATCCAGGACCCTGCCACATCTACCATCCCCATGAGAGCAACAGCAACACAGTACAGAAGATATAGACATAGCACTGGATTCACTACATGCTGCATGATGTCTGGCCGACCAAGAGATCTTGCAGCATGGGACCAATGAAGATGACACACCAGTGCAAAAATGGCAAGTTTCAAGAAGCAAGCTGCTAATTCAATCTGCGGAAATCTGTTTCCCACCATAAAACTCGTTGTGCTGCAACATATTCAACCAAACATTACATTTCAGATGTATTGGAACAAAACACAATCCATTCAGTTAAGCCACACATTTCACAAGCTTGCAATCGCATTCCCACCAAATACCTCCACATCATTCTCCCTCTCCATTTCCATGAACAATTTATAATTCTTATAAACTTACCAAACAATACATTCAATTGCTGATGTATAGAATATTGCATAGTGGTGCATTCGAGTATTGCGGAAGACATGATATTTGACAATCTTCACAATGATAAATATGAGAGTGATGGTCGATGCAGTGGTGAGAAGGCCGGTGCGGAGACAGGCCAGTGTGTCATATGGTTCCCAGCAACCTTTGTTGGCTACGTCGATTGTATCATTTCCAAACTTCCGTCCTCTTGACAACATTTTCAAAACTGTAGAGCAAATCTGGAGGAAAAAACAAGGACACAATACTAAATAAATATATATAAGCTTGCAACACCCGAGTTTTAAAGAACACACAAAAAAATGGCACTGTAAAAATATATTAAAGGTAAAACATACTCAACAATTGGTTCATTTTAATGATTGACGTACATATTAATGGTTTTCCTTGAGTAGCTGCTAACACAGGGAAGGCTACGCTATGCTGTATTGGAAACGACCTAACCGCCGTGCCAATAACGAAATAAATGACTTTACCTTGTAGACATAACGATGTGCATAGAAGCGACAAGGAAATTAACGTGCTAAGTTGTTATAATCCGGAGAAATGATGCGTCGAATGTAAATAATATTGTCTGCCAATACATGTCAACAAACTATGGCCGCCATCTTGTCGACTTTCCAATCTTCACAGTACCAACTTTGCGGGCACGGAGTATGTCGTTAAAAGTTAGTGTCGTTGTGTTGGTAGTCATGCTTTGATGATCAGTTTAAAAAGGATCCTTGGAAATTGTTTGTTTACATTGTAATGTTGCTGCCCAGTATTGTGTCATTATGAATCTGGGTATGATTCAACTTTCTACCTTTGACTTATTTTTGTTTTAATCTTAGTGTGGCGTGTAACTGCCGAGCTCCAAGCGAATGTCGAAGCTTCAGAAATATTCCAAGGGAACCTAGCCCCCCTGAAACACTACTGTATTTCCATTTTTATCAAGGATAATAGGCTAAATTAACCCAACATTGCTTGGTTTTGGATTCACCAGATATCAAGAACTTTCCTTAGATTCCTGAACTCTGCTAACATCACATACACATCCATCCTTCAACATCCTAAATTTCTCTCTCGTTTGAATCGATTATTTCATATTTTACAGATATTGAAAGGAAACTTTCCAAGGCTTTAAAGCAGTTCAGTGTAAACACTTTATTTAATGATGTTTGCCCATACTTTCAAGATTGGATCACTCAAGAAGAGCTCTCCTCAGAAATTCGCAGACTCAAACACAACATTGACACACCATCAGTTGTTGGTGTTCTCATAAATCTCCTGAAAGTAAGCTATTAAGATGATATTTGAACTAAGTATTGCATTATCTGCAGGGTATATTGATGAACCATGATTGTTTGTTTCTTTATTGTAGGAGAATGATATAACTAATGCTGAAGTTGAAGATTTACTTTCCACATTTCTGCTCCTTGGTAAAGTTCCAAATCACAGCTTGTTGATCCCATTTTCCAGAGCAACAAAATGTGCAAAAGTGTCACATAGCTGGATTTTGAGACCCCTATTACTAAGACTGCATGTTACAAGGATGTAAATTTTATTTCACCTTTCACATCTTTCTCTAATATTCTAGGTACTGCTTATAATTCTTCGCGTAGGACATGGACATCTTACAAACTTGAAGGAGATTGCCTCCAAGTTAAATTTGAAGATGAGATTAAAGAAGATCTGAAACATATCCTTGAAGAAAATCAATTAAATGCGGTAATGAAAATACATAATTTATTTCCATGCATTCACTCTGAACCTCTCAGTTACTTTTAGCTCTTTTTGCTCAATGGTCGTAGATTGATCTTCAGTTTTTTGTTGTTTTTTGTGGGTGTTTCAGACCATTGCAATCAAAACTGTCGATTGTATGCAGTGGATACAGGTGACCGAAAGAAGACTTGTGAAGAAACGCTGGAAAGATTACGCACCTTACTATGTTGCATGTTTTATAGGAGAACCATATATGTTCTTGAGCAAACGGGACGTATCAGATGATTTTCTTAAGGTACTGCTGAAAAGTTTATCAACAGTTTTATACTTACTGATAGAAGCTTTCTTTATAATTTTTCTTGTTCCCTTGCTCATATTTTCAGTCACTATCTGAAGGTTTTGGATATACTGGCTACAAATACAGCAACCTCAATGGTCATGATCTGGAATCTATGTTCAGCCATTTAAGACAGAAAGGTGCTAAGAGGGGAATTGTCAGGCCGATATCAACCTTAAGTATGTCTCAGCATCACATGTTTTTCGTTTCTTTTCTTTTTTTAAAATAAATTTTTGAGATATTTTTTGCATCCTATTTATGTTTACAGGTAACATTAAAGTTACATCATCTGGTAAAGATTTCTCTCAACACGAGAACAGAAGAAAGTTTGTATCAGACATAATGGGAACATCACCCCCAAAAATATCCAACTATGTTGTTGTAAGTAATTTGTATCAAGTTTCCTGGTTAAGTATATTTTATACACTTGTTTATATTGGTCGTCATCTATGTTTCCAATCTTATTGAAGGTGGCAAAGAATTTACCATGGAAAGGAAGAGTGCAACACCCCAGTTTGAAAACAAAGACTTTTGATATGAAAATTGAATTTCAAACAGAAGACACTGCAGAAATGTTGCTAGATATGGCTGAACATGGTTGTTTGAAAGTACCTCCACCAAGCTACGTTGTAAATCTTATGTCTACTGGAAGAAACAATATTAAACTCCGAGTTCAGAATGGCAATGGAGCCACAGATACAGAAACTCAGACAGACGCTGGTTAATCTTCATAGTTTTAGCATTTCTATAAATCTAACATTTGTTATTTTTTTTTACTTTTGTCCTTATACCACTGTGCTGCAGTTGCAAACGGTTGGCAATGACTTTAATTGGAAACATTATTGCGTTTGGTTAATCTTCATAATTTTTGCATTTTTATAAATCTAACTTTTGTTTTTTTTTGTTTTTTTTAACTTTTGTTCTTATACCTCTGTGCTGCTGTCACAAACGGTTGGCAATGACTTTAATTGTAAACATTGCGTTAAAGGATTTAAATTGTAATGTGGATCTTTTCTTTAATTAAACAAAATATGTGGACATCACAACTCGAACCTACTTTGCAGATTCAAGTATCTAACCCTAATCCATAATTCGACTAATTATTTCTCCAACAACATTACATGAACCTTGGCTGTGCGATTGCCGGGGAGGGGGGGGGGAGGGTGGCTGCCAGCCCGACTGGCTGACTGGGCTAGCATTCGACAACATAGTAAATCATTGCCAGGTCGCTGGTGTGCGTGCCCCGCCTCGCCCCGCCGCCTCTCGGCCTGCCCGACCTCGCAATGGCTTTATGGCACCATCCCGCACCCCTCCCTCCCCCCTTCCCCCCTCTCCAAACGCCACGGCCATAATCATTACTTTATTCTGTCGGAGACGAAGCGACGGCTCGCTACAAAGTGGAGTGAACGGCAAAGTAAAGGGCCGCAGCAGGACGCCGCGCCGAAGGGAAGGACTGGAAGGCCGGCCCTGCCGCGGGAATTCCCCAAAGCCCTTCCAAGTCCGCCTCGGCGCCTCGCCCCGTCTGGAGGGCACGGCCGGCAAGTCGGGGCGCGGGGCCACGGCAAGCGAAGAGCGGCATGTGTCGGATGTAAATGGAGGGGGAGTCTATTATTTTGGCACAGCTCCTGGGCGCTAACGGCGGCCGCGGAAGACAATGCGATAAGTGGAAGCGGATCCGCGATTATGGCGACAACGCCAGCGTCGCTAGCAGAGCGCGGAACGCGCGGAGCCCCTCGCGCACTCCCGCCCGCTCCCCGCGGACCTATACATCGTCGGGGCGGCCCGGGGCGGGGCGGGGGCAACACGGCACGGCAGGGGAGCAAGTGGAGACAAATGGCAGCGCGTGCGACGCGTGCGCAGTCCCTATCACTAGGCGGCACGGCACGCAGCGGCACGCAAAGCGAGACAAGCCGCGGCCTGGCCAGGCTGCGCTAGGCTGCGCGGCCACGGGCATGTCGTAGGTGGAGGTTCGGGAAGCTGACCGAAAACCGGGCTAGTCGTGTAGACCGGGTACCCCGCTTACAGGCGCGGATACAGGGGCCCATAGCCCCATAGCCCCAAGATAGCCGCCTGAAAGGTAGACAAAAAGTGGTACTTTGCCCCTGTAAGTAGGCAAAAAGTGCGACTTTGCCCCCCCCCATAGGCCCGCTTATTACGCCGCAAGCCGGCGGAGGCAGTGGACTGACTAGAGTACCGAGAGTCGTCTTCGTCGCTCTGTCTCTGTCGCACTCATTGGGCGTGCAGTATTGGTGCGAAGGCGACAGAGCGACGAAGACGACTCTCGGAATCAGTCTGCAGAGGCGCTGCGGCCTCCGCGGCCCCGCTGACGCTGCCTGGACAGGCACCACTGACACGCTAAGTCGGCAGCGAAACGGCATAACACGTTATTGTTCGTAGTTGCCCGGCGTGGCGTTTGCCGTTTCTAGGCGATGGCGGGGCTTTGTCTCTACCTGGCCTGGCTGTGCCTCGGCCCGGCGGCCCCGGCCAAAAGGCACGGCACAATGCGACAATGCTGCTTTCGGTAGTCGGACGCAGTCGGCATATTGGAGGATATTGTGTCATTGTGTCGGGTGTGCCGCACCTTGCCCGCCTGTCGGCAGGACGGGCCGACATACACAGACATCACGCCCGGCAAGATGGCGTCGTGGTCTGGTCCGGGACGCAGTCCAGGACGAACGGTCCTCCTGGACCTCCAGGACTCGCTCCACCCCAACAACACTGTTATTCAACGAATGTGACGTCACATTCGTTAGAATGTGAATTTTGTCACGTTCGTTTGAATATGATGTCACATTCGTTTGAATGTTGATCCACGCTTAATCGAATGTGACACCCGCATCTGATGGCCGCATGATGACCGTGTCACGTTCAAACGAATGTGACATCGTAGTCAAACGAACGTGACAAAATTCACATTCTGACGAATGTGACGTCACATTCGTTGAATGACAGTGAAGTGGCACCTCTCGGCCCGAGTGACTCGATAAAAGAAGGGTTTGACATAGATTTTTAGCAGATGATACCTTTACTACTCCAAAACATACCTAGAACAATACAAGACACTTAAAGGTGTCATTTTTACCTCGCCCAATTTGACGTTGGCCCATTGCCGCTTTCTGGCGTGGGCCACGTGCAACGAAGCGGGCCCAGCAGTGGGCTAGTTTGCTCATGATCGAGTCGAGCGTGATGATGTCGACACCGATGTGTCGGCTGCCTCGCCGACAGACCGACGTCGGCAAGTCGGGATGTGACGCTTGAGGTGTCATGAACCTCGTCGAGGCCGGTGGAATGTCGCCCTCTGATTCACGCATCCACTGCCGTCCCGCCCGAGCGCCTCGACGGTCAGTCCCCCCCCCCTCTTTACGCCCCGAGCGGTGACGTGACGGCGCACGCAAAAAACAATTCCAAGCTCAGACAAATTTTAGCAGTGGTACTAAAAATTTACGCGGTCTTAGCGGAAGTTCTTTTTGTGCAGGTGCAGACTTTTCCGGCACATTGCTATGGTATCAGCTAAATCTCGTAGAAGCGCAAACAATTTATAGGAGCGGTTGCCAAAATAAGGGTATCTTTCGTGTCTTTTGGCTCTATAATCGTTATTTTTCGACGTATTGAGATGCGGTTTGGTGCGTTGTGTTGGGCTCGACGTCGCCCACTCTTATCCATCTTAAGTCACCACTTTTTCAATTCAGAAGATGTCGATAAAGTGCTCCAAAGGGTCATTTTGTAACGTTCCGGCATGTCCCCCGTCCATAAATTCAAAGTTTCGATGCTTATATTTCAGCTAATATGGAACGTAGAACGATTCTGAGAAGATATTCGGAAACTTTATTATTTTATCTATCAGACACATGTTACTGAACTCGTTTTTACGAGCTCGATTTGGGTGCAATCTGTAAACGCAAAATGTCCTCCGTGGTTGACTTTGCGGAACGTTACATGTGAATTATCACGGTTTCTCGCGTTGTACTCCACTGATAGTTCTCGGCCTTGTCGTCAGATTAATCTGTAGCATTTTTGCCGTCGAATGGTGCAAACGGGAACTCTTAGAAGTTAATAGAAAGCTCAGAATCTTGTTTTATAGGTTATGTTTCGGTAGTGTCCGACCATGATTTTAAAATGCTTTTCTGTTCCCCGGGCAAGTTCTAGACCAAACAGAGATATAATTCTATCGGGACGTGTTGAGGAATCTTAAAACAGGAGCTCACACCAAATGGCGTGTTTTAATTCATAGCAAGAGAGTTACTAGGCCTGTTTGAATGACAATGTAACGTTCCGTATCCCGCTGTTTTCTGTAACGTTCCGTGTCTTTCCCCTATACTTTTGATAGGGGCTTTTTGGTCTTTCTGCAATATTGCACGGGAGCTCGACTGCGTTCAGATATAAGTCGTGGGACATCACTGAATAAATTGGCCGAGAAAAAAACCGACTTTTCCATATTTTTTTCTTGAGGTTCTATGGCCTTCAAAAGTGCCCCGAATTTTGGCAACTGCTCATAGGCGTCGGTGCTAAACAGCTTTGCTTATTGCTTCGCTGTCTGAAATGATCTTTTCCATGTGTGCAAAGGTGGCTCAGACGCGCCGCTGCCGCCAGATTCCGAATTTCGTCGCTCTATCTCTGTCACACCCCTACGAGACGCTCCATGAGTGCGACAGAGACAGAGCGACGAGACGAGTCTTTGGAATCTGGCGGCCGGATGAACGGGCGAAGAGCAGCGCTTTCTCGGAATGGACGGTTTGCACGGTGTCGGTGCTCTTGATGACCTCGATGAGCGCACGGCAGGGCACGCCCCGGGCACGCGGCGCGGCACACTGCCTGCCGCAGCACGCTGCGAGCAGCAGCAAAGCTCAGTACTAAAGCCCTCTTTTCGGGTGCCGCGGGCAGGGAGGAGAGGCAGAGGGGGGGGGGACACCGCGAATTAAAAGCGTTGTCGGCGGCGGGGCCGAAGCGGCAGCAGCCCAGTCCCCCGAAAACACCCATGATACATTTGAGCGGGCAGTTTCATCAAGTCGTAAAGACAGAAAGACAGAGACAGAGAGCGAGTGAGTTGGAGTGAGTAGGGCGGTGGAGGCCCTCCACGCGGCGTCTTCGCTGGTCTTCGCTTGGCTCCGCGCCCCCCTCCACCTCTCACACATCCTGCCTCCTCCAGGGCGGGGCGGGGCGGAGGGGCGGTCCTCATCGTATTCAATAAGAAGATGAAGGAAGGGGAGAAGGAGAGGGAGAGCCCGCTGAATATGGCCGTTATAAAAATAGCTTCTATTCCTTACAACAGCGCCCGCCTTCCCACCGCCATAAAACGCGGAGCCCGGCCCATAAAAGTAGAAGCCGGAGGTGTAGAGCCTGACCGGAGCTGGGGCTGGACGGGCTGGCCGGCCGCAGAGCGCCGCACCGCGCCGCAGCGACCTGGAAGGCTGGCCGGACTGGAGGGCTGGACTGGAACGCTGGACCTGGCTCCAGGCTCCGACAGCCGGGCTGCGGCAGCGGCGCGCCGACGTGGCGACGTGACTGATGTGGCCGACGCCGCCGACGACGCCGACGTGGCCGACGACACCGACGTGACCGACGACGCCGTCTTTTGCCATAAACTAACTCGTGCACTCCGCGTCGCCGCCCCCTGCCTGCCGCCCGAACCCTGTGATGTGTGTCCAAGTTTCCCTAATCCGATCGCCAACTGAGGCCAATCCTGTGGAAATCGGCAGCGCACTGTTTTTGCGGCGTCTCTCTACTCCGCGTGGCACGCTTGATGCAGCAGCGCCCCCCCCCCCCCACACACACACACACACATCACAACCCCCGCGGAAACAGCCGATTCGAAGCGTTCTCTAAATGTTTTATGGCAGTGGTCTGTGTATTCGCTGGCCTTCTCGCTTCCCCCGCCCACCGCAATGTAGATGCCCTGTGGTGCTACATCACAGCTTGCCTCGCCTCTCTCGCCTCGCAGCGGAGTCAGCGCCGCGAGTTCTTCAATCTGAACCGTCCCAGTCGGGATGCTGTTCGCAGCCGCACGAAAAAATACACCCGGAGGTACTGACATGTCCGGGAACTCGCCGGCGACGATG